TTAGTAAATGATGATGTTTATATGATGTACTGTTAAAATTGTTTACGGTTACAATGTATCCGTTGGGTTGATGACATCCACGAAATGAGTTCAGGAAATAATATTATGTTAGGCAGATTAAATTCCAACACAATGATTAAAGAACTCATTGGTACTAATTTCAAATCCGAGAGATAAAAAAATTGATTAATTATATTGTCAGCAACGTTATATCTTAAACATAGGGATGGTAAATCAATCAATTAAATTAATTAAAACTAATTAATTAAGTAGGAGGTTCTAATTTATTGAATAAATTGAAGCTAAATTGGGAGATCAATAATATTACTCTAGTAGAATATTTTATTAATTATTCAAATAGGAGAAGAAATTAAATTATTTTCTAGAATTTTCCTAAGTAGAAGTATATAATTCTTTCTAGAATATTACCAAAGTTAGAAGACATGGGAGTCTTTGGAAGTGTAATAGAGTTGGAAGGGATTACAACTTCTAGAATGAAAAAGAGTTGGAGGATATTATGTTTCCTAACCCTATTTGGAGAAACTCATATTTAACACCTCCTTAAGTTCCCTAATGTTGCCTATAAATACACCAAGTCCCAACTCAATATACATACGTGTGTTGGACAATTTTTTAAATCCTGAAAAGGAGAGAAAAAACTGAGTTCTACATATATTGAGAGTTCGGGAGTTTCGTTTAGTCGCACCACCAAGACTATTCGAAATAGAAGTATAAGGTCATACATTAGAAGATCTTAAAGTCTAACATTGTTCGAGAATCCCGACGAATATATTATCATCAAAAAATTGTTCCGGCGAATCACAAAACCCGCAGTTTCCAGCAGCACACCGCCGCACGAGCCAATCACCGATGACGCCTGTTCCCAGCCGTGCACAGCCCATGCGATCAGCAACGACACCGCGACATACCAGCGACACCCAGATCGTGATCGTGCAATGCTGTACGCTACTAGACGAACCCGAGATTCCCGTGCACGCCTTGACCTTTTGACTCCAGGCGACCTGACATCTTCGGATGCAGGTAGAGCACGCTAGTCCCTAGCGCCCGACGCACACGCTAGCACGCAGACGCGCACGCCAGTGACCTGGAGCGTTTGATGCACGACCTGACCACATTTCGGTGACCCGTGATCAACAAAGGAGGCCAAATTCGGCTGCCCAACGGACTATGTGGTTCAGACGATCTCCTACAGAGGAAATCTACAACGTCTCAGAGTCGGCAAAATTTTAAATAGTAAAGTCCTAATCCTAACTATAGATTCCGCTGCGTTAGGATTTAATTTGTTAGATTTGGAGGTGTATATCAGTGGCATTCCTAAGCGAACCAACACACCATTATTAAAATGTATTCATAGTAAGAAGAAAATCGAAAATGGCCCCAAAAAGTCAAAACCCCATACATCAAATACCTCCATTGACATGAAAGTTTTTAATGGCATTTCTTTACTTCTCCCGAGCTTCTAAGGTATTTGGTAAAAGATAAATAATAAATATAAAATCATGAACACCCTTCAATTGTGTTGGCCAATAGAACCCGGACTGCCAAACTTTGAGTGTGTTTCTTTCCCCCAAAGTGATCTACACAGTTTGACAAACAACAATCGGGTAGATTTGCTCCGTTTCCCGAATGCATATTTGGGTAATCTCTTCATTCCCCACATGAAACAGAAAATGATAGTAAAAAAACCAATACCTACATTTAAAAATGAATCTCTTCCTCTCTTGGAAGGATAAATCATAATTGACAATGCCGCTTGCCATGTAATTAGTTATGTTTGCAAATTATGGAGAAAAATTTATATTAAACGCATTCTCAAAGGGTAAAGAATCATCAAAACTTCCACTCACATCATTATCACAAAAAACAAAAAATAAGAAAATCATTAAGAACTAGATGGGAGAAATGATCGGCAATTATATTTTCACTTTCTTTTCTATCTGTAATCTCTCTACATCCAAATCTTGTAACAAAAGGATCAATCTAAAAAGCCTATTTTTTGGATGGAGAATTAGAAAGCAAATGTCGTAAAGCGTCATCATAACTATACACAATTGCCCTATACTTTAGAATATTATGAAACATTTCTACGACAAATATATAGCTAACTTTTTGTTTTTTTCGACCGTTCTATAGTTAAGTTTATCATCATTTAACGTCATACTAGCATAAAATATTACGTGATGATTCTTATCCAAGTTTTTCTCCAAGACGGCCCCTACAACATAGTAAGAAGTGTTGTACATTATCTCAAAATGTAGCACGAATCAGAGGAAACAATAATGGGAGTCAAAATAGGACTGATTTATATTCATTAGAAGCATCAAAACAAACTCATCAACACGAACGACACATCGAGGGCAAGAAGTTTGCAAAGAAGTTGGGCTATTTTTTAGAAATCTTTAATAAACATCTGTAAAAACTGGCATGCCGAATGTTACACCACAACCTTGAAAACTCCTCGACCGATCGTCTGAATCGGGTTCGGCCTTCTTGAACGCCGGTACCTGCAAAACACGCCGGGGGTGGTCCCAGTGTAGACACTCCGACGCTCAAGTTAGTGGGATTCTTGAGGAGATATGGCAAGGTATCGAAATTATGCATGTGTGTGTTCTTGTGTAAAAATGAGAGAACTTATCCCTTATATAGACCCAAGAGTCCCTGCCTTATGGGAATTTTAAGTCCCACAGAATCCTTCTGCCCATCTCTTCGTAAGTCATCCAATCAGAGTTCTACCCACGCTCACCCTCTTTGAGTAGATCCCAAGCACCCTGCCACATGGACACACTAGCTCGGCTTTCCTACCAACGGTAGCTCGGTCCTCCTCCACTGAGCCTCTCCTCGGTTAGCGAGTTGTGCCCTAAAAATCATCCACGAGTGCCAACCTTCTG